GATTACTCTTTATAATTTTGAAAATTACAAATACTCTATTATAAAAAATAAAAAAAACTTATTTAGCAGAATTAACAGAAAAAAAAATAAAATTTTTAACTATTCTCCTATACAACAATAAAATTATATGAATTATTAATTAAAATATATTTATAACATTATTAAAAACTATTAATTGATTTAATAATTTTTTAAAAAAATTGAGTTATTTGTTATGTGATTAAAAATTATAGAGGTGAAATGTAAATTTTAAAATTATAAGAGACAACATATATTCTAAGCAAACCTCATGGAGTCGTATTTGTAATTTATCTTTAAAAAAATAATGAAATAAAATAAAAAAGGAAAAGGGTAAATCAACTTGCCCAGTATATATATTGGTTTTCAAATTTTTTTTCATATATTGGTAATGCTATATGGCCCAATATATATATTTGCAGAGTTGAGAAGTGGAGGAGGAAGAAGAAAGTGGAAGTGATCGATTACACAAACAATGGCTGATTTTGAGATGCCCAGAGTTAGACTCGGAATCAACGGATTTGAGGTAACAAAACCCTAATTAGCCCCTTTTTTTTTTCTTCCAAATTCCCACCAATAATCGGTATTTGTTTCTGTTCAAACACGATTATGGTGCTAGAATTTGAAATTCAGATGATTATCAATATACATGTCGGTTCAATTCTTTACACTCCAATCGCATTTGCATCGAGAAATTTGTGTATGTGTGTGTAATCGAATATATATATATATACACACACACACATTAGATTGAATTTCAGTCTCAGTAGTGCTTTTCAAATCAGGCTTTTATTTGAATAGACTGAAAAATCAGAGTCTTGTTGATTTATTTTAATTATTTTTTTGGCTAGGTTATTTTTATTTTAGTTAAGCCAATTTGTACTTCTGAAATAATACTTGAAAAGCTTTGATTTTGCTGACAACAGCCAAAATAATTTTTTTTATCCATTATCAAAAGTTTTCCTGGCAACAGACAGGACTGCCATGATTTATGAAACATAGATATGAATACAACAGGATAGAGAAACAACATGGGAAGGATACCAATATGACAAATTTATAAATCAAAAAAAAAAAAAGTATGATACAACGACAAATATGTATTGTAACAGCTACGATAAACTGCTAAGAACCTACCAGAACTTTCAATTCAGTTCCTGAGCATTGCATCTGTACTTTGCTAAGTCAAAAAGTGATGTGTGTAGTGAGCTTTCTAGCAGAAAGGCAGACTTGAAACTGACTTATAGCTTGCGTTGCTATGAAGGGAGCTTCCTGAATCAGACCAACTCAGCTGGACTGATCGGTATACCAATAATCAAGTCTATAATCAAGTCTTCAGTTGACTAGTTGAATACATTGCATCAACCTAGGTGACTCGTCTAGAGTGAATATGCCACTGATGCATAAGGCAGTGTGGCACCTACTTAATCATATAGAGTTTGTTGCTAGGTGTCACATACACAAAGACCTAAACATTGCGTTAGACTAGTTGGTCAAAATAGAAAAAAGATGAGCTGCTAACATGAAGCTACCGTTGTTTGCATTCTAGAAACGGTAGCTTCCATGCCCTTCCGGCCTGCTGAAATTGATGTGAATGATCGTGGCAGCTCTTCAAATCCTATTCAGTCTGATTATATATGTCACTGAAACAAAGTGATTCTGTTTTGTCTTTGTTTTATTTTCGGATTCCGAGGATGAGCCGGCGCGGTGCAATGGTAGCCCATCAGCATTCCTCACAGATTGGTCTACTGTTGATTGAGAACCAGGGCGTTGAACCTGTTCAAGTTGGATTGGATTTGAAAACTACACTAAACCTATATATAGCTTGTATGCATGTATGTGTATAAATATAAAAGTAATTTTATCATAACATATTTATTACTAATTATGTATTTAAGTATCTGTTAAATATTCTTAATTTCAGTTTTATAATGTATTCATGTAAAAAAAGATTAAGGTTATGTTGTGTTATGAGGACACAAATTTTGGCAAAATTTGACATGCTTTAATTTTACTGTTTCTCAATTTTTCTGGTCTAGTACGCAAAGTATTTGAAGAAACTAGTCTTACATTTATTCTAACAATTATACTCCAACATTACACAAGAAATGTCACATCTGAATACTTAGAGTATCTTGAACATATATGATACTTTGATTCTAAAATTAAAGAGAAATAAACTTTAATTGGGATATTTTTGGGAAGTATTGGATAAGCATTTGTGAGTATCCAAAGAGTATTGGTTTCCAATACAATTTCGATATGGAAGTATCCATGCTTCATAGGCTATGATAACAGGGCTGCTGAAAATGTTAAGGTTGTTTTTTTTTTTTTTTTGTTTGCTAGTATTTTTAAAAACAAAATGGTTTGTCACCAGATTTTTGTCGCTGTTTTATGTAATTGCCTAGTTGGATGCTTGTGATTTAGTTCCATGTTTCGAATAAATTATATTATGAAGAAAGTTATATATATCTTTCCATGTTTGCGATGATAAAAGTTGATGACCTTTAGCTGTATGCAGAACTTATGTTATATGTCTTTTAATAGGAATGGGGGAAGGGGAGTCAAACCCTTTACCAACTAGTTAGGCAGGCTAGGTGTGAGTGTTAGAAATGTTTTGTCAATGTGTTTTTGTTTCTCATTCGTTTTCTGAATTTGGAATCTTTTTTTTTTTCTTAGGTCTCAAAATTGGGTTATGGTGTATGAGGCTTAGTGGAGCCTACGGCTGTGTGTTATATGTCTTTTAATAGGAATGGGGGAAGGGGAGTCAAACCCTTTACCAACTAGTTAGGCAGGCTAGGTGTGAGTGTTAGAAATGTTTTGTCAATGTATTTTTGTTTCTCATTCGTTTTCTGAATTTGGAATCTTTTTTTTTTTTCTTAGGTCTCTAAATTGGGTTATGGTGTATAAAGCTTAGTGGAGCCTACGGCTGTGTTTAGAGAAGCTCTCCAAATGCATTTCCACCCCCACTTTTGAGTGTGGTATTTGTTTTGTATTTTCAAATTATAATTCCACACCCATTTTTGAATACTCTTTTCCACTTTTGAAAACTCCTTTCCAGGCGGGAAAATTTGGCTAACTCGGACTTCCGGCCGGTTGACCGGAACAATGTTCGGTTTTTTTTTTTTCTTTTTTTTTTTCTCATAGTTATATTTATATTTTAAATAAAAAATATTTCCAGAATTTTTTTTAAAATTTTTTATGATCTTTGAATAAGATTTTGGGTTATGTGTTTGGTTATGAGTTGTAAGAGAGAACGGGTAGGAGTAGCACCAATAGAAGATAAGTTGAGAGAGAATAGATTGAGATGATTTGGTTATATACAACGGAGACCAACAGAGGCAGTAGTGAAGAGATGCGATGCAGTGACGGTAAATGGAAGTGTTAGAGGATGGGTTAGACCTAGATTGACGTGGGATAGTATAGTAAATAGAGATATGAATCTCCTTAATTTGACTAACAAAATGGCCTTTGATAGAGTCGAGTAGAGAAGAAAGATTCATGTAGCCGATTTCATTTGATGGGACTTAAGACTTGGTTTGGTTTGGTTTACTTTCTCTATCTTTTTTTATTATGTTTTTTTACTATTTTTTATGTTGCACAAAGCGTTTTTTGGACCATATCCAACAACCTATGAAATAAGGATATTGATACAGGATACAGATACAATACGATACGGATACGGCGACACATTAAATCTAATAAAATAGGATACGGGAATGGCAAGGATAAGTTGAATTTTCCTTTTTCTTTTTTTCTTTTCTATTTTTAGTATTATATTATACATAAGCTCAAAGAATAGTGAGAAACCATTATTTAGATATTAGTTATTAGAGTAAGAGAAAGTTTACTTTTTTGTTTTAGCCAATACACTAATTTGATAATACTTGAAAAGGTACAATACTACTTTAATCTCACTATTTTCTTCTTGGGTAAGAAATTAGAAAATATTGAAAAATTATTCATGTATCTATTTTTTAACAATTATACTCTAATAATATGCAAAATTATTACAATTTCAATTTCATAGTAGTTTGGATATGTGACCTAGATTATCCAGAAAGTATGCAATACTTCTCAAAATTGGCATCAAATATTAGATACGTTTTAGGAAGTATTGGATACGTAACCGCAAGTATCTGAGGAGTTTCGGTATCCAATATGGGTACAATATAGATACAATTTCCTTTTAGAAGTATTTGTGCTATGAGTCCAAGAAAGGAAAGGGAAAAAAGTTCGTTTTGAAAGGTCTTGGAGCTATACTTCTTTGATTATTAATGTTGTTGTCATTTTTCTTGCATCATTGAGTGGGATGCATTTTCAACTGATCTAATATTACACCTGATTATGAATGTTTTGTATTCACACCTTTAGAGTGGAGACTCCACTAACTTTTTGAAAGGTTTTGGTAGTATATTTGATTTGATTGTTGTTGTTTTTCTTGCATCATTGAATAGGATGTGTTATAGATTGATCTGATAGATAAGACTTGAACTAATAACACCTATAGAGTGGAGACTACATTTGGGAGATAGTGTTCTCTTTTCATAGTTTGTTTAACAAGAAATGAAATATTCGAGGAGGATATTAATGCTTTTTGTTTTGGTGGTTTACTTGGGTATGACTATAACTATAAATGTTGTTGTTCTTATCAATCAGAAAAGCGAAAACAAATAAATATGTAGAATATGATACATACAAATACAGTTGGAGTTTAACTGGAAAATTTTGTTTCACTTTCATAATCTATTTTCTGAATTTTTTTGAATAAAATAGAAGCTAGTCTGACAAAAATAAGCACCAAAAGGGTATTTTCAAATTTTCAAAGAATATTTCTACCTTCCCAAAAGATAAAACCGTGTGAAAATGATGAGTATTTTTCATTTTTTACGGGAAATTAGTTTTTAGTTTATTTTATTTTTTTTTTAGGAAATTTATTCTAAAAATCAAACCAAAGAGAGTCTTGTTGGTTGTTTTCCAAAGAAAAAATGAATATGCTTTTTTGACAATTTTGTGTGATATTTTAGTTGTTGATCCTAATATTTTCAGGCATTAAAGGATTTGCCTCGAGAAAAAGTTTAGTTAGCTACAAAATTTGGAATTGTCAAAAATGGAACCTACTCAAGTTGTGGTGAAGGGTACTGTTGAATATGTGCGCTCCTGTTGTGAGGCTAGTTTGAAGTGCCTTGGTGTGGACTGCATTGATCTCTACTACGTACATTGGATTTACACATCAGGACCTATAGAGGAGACTGTAAGTTTCTTGTTTATATTTGCCATTTACCAATGCACCTCAAGTCTAGTTCCTAGTTTTAAGTTGGCTTTTTTTTTTCAATGTTTTTTTTTTTTTTTTATTGAACTTTTTTCAACTCTGAGTTGTTTTTTTATGTACATTTTAAATCTATCTAGGCTAGGGTGGTCATGGGCTTGATGGCCCAACCAGCCCAACCCATTCTATGGCTTGAGATAGATATTTGACCCATGAGTTGAGTTGAGATTTTGAGCTCGTTTAGTTTTTGGGATCGGCTTGACATGAGTAATTCTAGCCTGGCCACTCCATTTATAATATATTTAAAGTCCATTAAAGAACCCCCCAAAAAAACCAACTTTTTAGGCAATTTGTTTTTGAAAAGTACTAAACATGCATTGGTTTTTTCGTCTATAGTGTACTTTTTTCAAATACAATGAACAACTACTGGGATCGGATTTCTTTTTGGTAAGGCTTTCCAATAGAGATGATTATGATCATGTCCTTTTTTATGGTCCTTGGGTTATTGCAGGGCATTATTTGTCTATTCGGAAATGGCATCCAGAATTTTGTCCCTCGGAGGCGTCTCACTAAACAAGTTCTCTTCAAGGGCTATCATTGCACAAGGTTTTAAAAAGAGGTTGCGGTGGTGCGGTTGTAGTTGTGGGTTGTAAAGGTCGTAGCGTAACAGTTGCGGTAACCGAAACCGTGAATTTTTTTTATTTTTCACACAACTTGAAAAAAAACTTACCCGATACGCAGATATTTTTTTTCCAAAATCACATTTATTGGGATTTAAAATAGATTTTGATCAATATTTGTTAGTTTTTAAATATGATTCAATATATTTCATATTTTTAAATCACTATAAAAGGAGCTTTTTACATTTAATTTCAATAGTTAATATGTCATAAATCCATATTGTACCTCTTATTTTTATTTATTTTTTAAGAATAATTGATTTTAAATGTCTACAATATTATTTTTGACCAATTCCTGAACTAACTAAACAAAAAATATTTACAATTATTAAATGAAATGATTATAAAAATAAAAATTGAGACAAATTATTTTTGAGCTACTAAATATTGCATAAGGTGTATAATGTATATTTTGTAAGGTTTTATTTTTTATTTTTTAAAAAAGTTGTTCATAATATTGTAAATGTGTGTAACGGTGTGTAACAAGCCGTTACAGCCGTTACGTAACACCGGAACGGCCGTTACACATGTGAATTTCAGTCACATGGCAAAAGCAAGTGTAATGCGTAGTGCCTACCGCCGCAATTGTTACGTAACGGCTGCAACCATTACGTAACACCACTTTTTGAAACCTTGACTGCAATGGTCTTTACCAGCTTCCTACTTCTCAGTCTATGTCTTCTCCTCAAACCTTGTTATGCATTCGTTCTTTCTGAAAGCATTCTCATTTTCTCAAGCAGAGAAAGCCTTTGAGAAGTAGTTCAGAGCAAGAAAGTCGTATGTAGTGAGGTACGGCCACACTGTTTATACCTATAGGACTTGTACGCCTGCGGAGAACTCAATGTGGGATCAGCAGCAAAAGATATTCTATGGTTACGGAATAGGTGTTTCATGCGTTAGTCGACTTGCACTTATTATATACATCTATGTTAGGAATGGCATTATCAATAGAATCATTTAAAGAAATAGCACTACCTATTGTAAAGGAAACGTCTTCTGTTTTGGCATTTTCATGATATAACCTATAGTAAACTTACCATATTCAAACCAATTCCGCATTGCTGCTGAGTTGTCGGACTTATCCACCAAGGGATTTGTGGAATTTCTGTGGATTGCGTTGGGGGAAATCTACCAAAGCTAGGTAGATAGATAGACTCCTTTCCTGTGGCTAATGGAGAGTAAGAAACTCGAAACGAACGTGATCTCACACGAGAGAGCTTATAACTCTTGTTTTCCGCTAATTAAATGGGGATTCCTTACCCACTACACAGGTTCAACAATTTCGTTTAATTCCAGACAAGAGAGGGTAGGAACGCTTCAAATAGACTATAGTAGACATACGGATATACTTCCCGATCAACTGTGCAAGAGGAGAGTGGATGAAGTGCTATGGTGCATATTTCAATTATGGGTCACTTTGCCATTCCTACTTCACGGGATGGTAAGCCTATCCAGGGTCAGCTTGGTGATAAAAGTGGCAGTGTGCCCTAATCTAATCAATAAGGGTCTAAGCGAGGACAAAGGCGGTCTGGAGATTAAGTCAAGCTTGTGCTGCGACATCCGCAAAGGGGTCAAGGCATGCCCCTCTGAGAGCACTCAATATGAAAGATAGATAGAAAGTGCTTGATTAGGGACTGGACTCGCCCCGGGCCCCCCTACGGGTACGGTTAGCTCTCTCTAAAAGAAGGGTGATTGTCTGGATAATCCCTAAGGTGCCTTTCTCCTATAGGCATCCCAAAGTCGGGGGCCTTTTTGTTTTTGTTAGGATGGATCTAGGATCGCCTTTCCTGTACTAGAAGTTGAGCAAAGGGGCTCATTCCTTCTATGGGATTGGCTAGGGATTAACTTATCGTTTGAATATCCTATGGCTCTTTATATCTATTTTTTCTAATCAATCTGAAATAATCAAAAGAGAACTCTGACTCTTATGGTTCTAATTCTTAGATTGCTACCCTACCTACCTATTATTGAGGGAGTCTGTAGTCCCCCCACGGGCATATCTAGTTCAGAAAAGACATGAGATGGGAGAGCGTGAGGTGGAAAAAGCAGAGTAGACCAAACGCTTTCTGCCTTGATATGCTGAGGTCAGTGAGCTAGTGAGGTAACACAAGACCGGTGCGGACTATTGTGGGCGGAAGAGTTTCAGTTCAAGCTGCCTGAGCTAACTGCTTCTCACTTGAATTCAACTTCACTGCTCTTAGAGTGAGAAAAAGGAGTCGACATCAAAACTCTATCTATGTATTATAGGTTTTGTCTTTAGCCTTGACACAAGTTGAATGAGAGAGAAAGTGATGAAAGCAAGCCACCCTTTTGGGGTATAAATCGAGGGATGTTTAACGTCACTTCGCCAATTGGCGTTACTTGCACTTTCGTCTCTCTGAGTGTGGTCAGCACTGGGTGTTTTCGAGCAACCCATTCGCATTAGTTCATCCAAAGTGCCCAAATCTATAATTCATGTAATTCATAATTTGACTTCATAACTTGGGTGATAACTCATTTACTTCCAGTTTTTAATGCAAAAAGTTGAGGATTATGATAAAGAATTGCTATCAGCTATATTCATTTGATTGTATCTGGTAGGTATGTAGGAAAAAGAGTTATCTCTTAGCTACTGTCTGTCTCTCTGAGTTTCTGCTACTAAGTAGCACTTCTGCTATTCAATCATAGAGTTGATTCCGATCAAGATGAAAAAGCCTTGTAAGGTAGCGAAGTTCAAACTGCTCTTACGCAATTAGTAGGACACGAGGGAACAACCTTAGAGTGATTCAGTCGATACAGAGGCTTGACTACTTCGATGGAAAGTTCTGAAAGAACAGATTAGATGTGATTACCAATCGGCTTACTACTGGTTGGCTTGACTTTGAGGTGAGGTACTTGTACTTCTTTTACATTTTCTGCTGGGTTTCCATTTCTTCCCCCTTTTTTGAATTATAGAGATTGTATACGCCTGCATAAAAAAAAAAGGTCTGGATAGATTCAGTGAAGCATTAGTACGCTCATGAACAGGCATAGCAATAAGCTCTGTCTTTGGTCCTTCCACGCTGCTATCAACGAGTTTGACTTTGAGGTGAGGTACTTGTACTTCTTTTACATTTTCTGCTGGGTTTCCATTTCTTCCCCCTTTTTTGAATTATAGAGATTGTATACGCCTGCATAAAAAAAAAAGGTCGGGATAGATTCAGTGAAGCATTAGTACGCTCATGAGCAGGCATAGCAATAAGCTTTATCTTTGGTCCTTCCACGCTGCTATCAACGAGTTATGAATTGCTAAATCAGCATCAATTGGAACTACTGAATGAACTGCTTCTACAGAATCACCTGCAATGGATTGTGAATCCACCATGCGCGGGTTCAATTCCTGTCATTTTCCCATAACTAATTCGCTACAATCGAGGGGTACCCAGGTTTTGATTTCCCTACTTCATAATAGATAGGCAGATGCGAAGCAAAGGAAGAGGAAAAGGGCATGCGTAAGCAGGAGATGCCACCACTGATTACCTATATTAGATAGGAGATAGGATAGCGGACCCTTTCTCTTACAAAAATAAATAACAAGAATCTTGGTTGAAAAATGGGATGCTACTCCGATAGCTTCCTACTCGCAGCTAGGAGAGGAATGAAAACTACAACATAATGAGCTCAGAGGAAAGAGGCAGCAGGTTTGAGTCTTCTATTGTTGAAAGAATGAAAGAATGGGGAGCTAACCTTTGAGAAGAATCAAAAATAAAAATGGAAAGTGTTCAATTGGAACATGAAAACGTGACTAAATGGGTCCTATCAGGACGGAGTGGAAGAAAAGAGGAGATTCTTGAACGAGGAAAAGGATCCAATGACTTCAAAAGATTTGAACGAGGAGGCGTATAAGGTGAAAATCTCATGTACAGTTCTGTAGAGTGGTAGTAAGGGTGACTTAGGCAGGTGGGAAAGGTGGTAGAGAATATAATTCAAGACAGCCCTCGTGCTTTGAAATATAAATCAAATATCAAGTCATCAAGGGAAACGGAAAGAGAGGGATTCGAACCCTCGGTACAAATAACTCATAAAACGGATTAGCAATCCGTCGCTTTAGTCCACTCAACCACCTCTCCTAATAAAAAAAAGAAGATAATTACTATGTTACATTACTCTTAAAGTAAGGATTAAAAAAAGTCTTTCTTTCTCTCTATTTATCTTTATTATATAGATATGGTACAATTTTTTATCAGCAATTCCATTTAGATAAAAGAAGGGCTAGAAAGATCCAATATAAATATAAAGAAAAATCAAAATAAAGAAGACTTCTTTTCTTGATTTTGTTCGAAAAGGCCTTTTTTTTTATCCCATGGCCGGGCTAGGTCAGTATCTAGCCGGGCCTTTTTTTATTCCAACGAATCATAGTATCTGATTGAAAAAAAAGTACTTGCTATTAAAGTAACAAGAAAGTGTCTTTTCTTATTATTCCTTTCTTCCTTTTTTATTTGTTTTTTTTTTTAACTACTTTACTGGAATAAAAAAAAGAAACTATGAATTCTTACACAATGCATTTTTTGTTACGATTTCGGTGTTTTTTGTTATGATTTCGAGCTGTGTCTATCAAAATTCCTCCAGTAAAAGAAAAGAGAAAACTTCTTTTTTAGTTATGTAAATGAATCCTCCAGTATGGACTTCAGCGCCGTATTAGTTGCCACTCATTTCTAATTAGTTGGAATCTTTTCCTTAATCTAAGTGACATTGGAAATATTTACTGATTGGTGCTGAATTTTCTTTTTGAATAGCAGATGGGAGAACTTAAGACATTGGTGGAAGAGGGTAAAATAAGATACATTGGTTTATCAGAAGCAAGCCCAAACACAATAAGGAGGGCACATGCTGTTCATCCTATAACTCCTCTACAAATGGAGTATTCCCTTTGGACTCGAGACATTGAGGAAGAAATAATCCCGCTTTGCAGGTGCTTTCATATTGCTTCCAAAATTCTGCAAGAATCTTCATCTTGAGGTTTTTTGTTGTTGTTGTTGTCGGTTTTTTTTTTTTTTTTTTTTTTTTTTTTTAGTACAAAAGAGGTTCATCAAGAGTACATCAATAAGAAAGGCCAAGAATCTTCATCTTGAATTTACTTATATTTTATTCAAAAATTTGGAGGCTTCTGTTCAAATGTTGCTCTTTGTTAAAATAAAAAATTCATCCACAAAAAAATGTTTGAAAGGGCGGCTTTACTTGATAGTAAGGCTTTCTGTTAGTGCCCTTGGCGGCCCAAGTTTGAGTTACGGAAACCACCTCGCCAGAAGTAGGGGTAAGGCTGTGGACATCTTGCCCTTCTAAGACCTCGCTTTAGCCTCATGTATTGGGTTGCCATTTTTTATTCACAAAAATATGTTTATCAAGAGAAGACACCCTATTGTCTGTTTGAACTTCATTTGGAGGCTCCTGTTCAAATGTTGCTCTTTGTTAAAATAAAAAATTCATCCACAAAAAGATGTTTGAAAGGGCGGCTTTACTTGATAGTAAGGCTTTCTGTTATTTCCCTTGGCGGCCCAAGTTCGAGTTACGGAAACCACCTCGCCAGAAGTAGGGGTAAGGCTGTGGACATCTTGCCCTCCTAGGACCTCGCTTTAGCCTCATGTATTGGGTTGCCATTTTTTATTCACAAAAATATGTTTATAAGGAGAAGACACCCTACTGCCTGTTTGAACTTCAATTTCCAATAATAATTTATTTTATTTTTTTATAGTGATTTCTTCTTTATTGGAATTTGCATCTTAAACTTCTAGCCATTTACTGTTTTCAGTTACACTTCCAATTTGTTTTGATATTTCCTTTCATCATATTTTTTTCTAAACCATGTTTTGGTTATCAGGGAACTTAGAATTGCGATAGTTCCATATTCCCCTACTGCTCATGGGTTTTTTGCTGGCAAGGCAGTTGTGGAGAGTGTCCCTACAGATAGCTTCTTGGTGATTAACTGGATCTATATCTTTTATTTTACTTCAATTTAATTAATGTTAGATAAAAATCATCTCTGTGAACTAATACTCATGTTTTGGCTGAAAATTTATTTTAGAAAATGTTTTCCACATTATCTGGCATTTGGTACAATGGAAAATCAAAGGCAACTGAAAACGTTTTATGTGGTCGATAGAGAACGAGTTTACTTAGGCGGAAAACATTTTCTACTTTTGAAAGGTGGAAAACGTTTTCCAAAATAAGGTCTTACCAACGCTGCCACACTAGCATCACCAACACCCTAACACAGCCACCAACACCCTACCACAACCACCAACACCATCACTAATACAATGAACAACTACTATATTAGTTTCAAGGTCTCAAACAAAGATAGGAAAGCATCTTCTACAAAAAAAATTATTGGAAAATGTTTTCCGTAGGAAAATAATCTTTGCTGAAACAGAGTGTTAATTCATTCAGACATTTCCTCTTTTGGTTAGTCAAACAACTAGATGAATGGATGACTGACTTTTTCTTTCTATCAGCTAACACTTCCTAGGTTTACAGGGCAGAATTTAGATCACAACAAGATCTTTTATCTTCGAATAGAAGAGTTGTCTAAGAAGCACAGCTGCACCCTTGTTCAACTCACACTTGCATGGGTTCTTCATCAAGGGGATGATACGGTGCCTATTCCCGGTGAGTGACTAATCAAAATTTTGATTTCTTGGTAATGAATAATACGTGAAAAGTTATGGAAAACGTGCTGGAAGGTGAAATGAATCCTTGAACAAACCTCGAAAACGTTTAATTCCATTGTAACTAGTTCGATAAGTAGGAGGTTGTGGTCTTTCTTACAATCCAACCTAAACCCCTTGCCGAAGTATATTTTTTGGCTTTTGAATTAAATTAAATGTAACTTCTATTGAATGATTAGTTTTTATTAGTTTTTCTGAAAATTCTTTAGTTTTTTAATCATATTTGGATGTTTACTGAATGCTTTAATAATATTTTGTTATTGTTTCAAGTGGATGTTTATGCAATCAAATCAGCTGTTAATCAATTTAAGAGAAAGATCCTTGTCGATTTTTGGTGTTAATCTTCACCAAACTAGTGTTCAATATTGCAAAACCTAAGTGATTTGTGATTAGATCAAGATTAATTGCACCAATTCCTATGATTCAGTGCCCATCCTCGAGATTGCGGGGCCTAGAATATATAAAAGTTTTACTCGTGTCTCGTATATTTTTGCAGATACACCACTGCCAAAGAATTCCAAGTGATTGGCTTTATGTTTTTTTTGTGATGGAATTAATGTTAATAATGTTTTTGTCAATTTTGTATTTCCTCTTGTAGCTTGTTGTGGCTTTGGTGTGTTGTCTTAACAACATTGTGGCCACTGCAGCTGAAACCCGCGCATGTTTGGATGTGTTCCGATGGTGTCAAGTTCGGGATATTCAAGTTCTTTCATAGATTGCTTATGGTTGGTCGAACAGATTCGTGGTACATCAACATGCGATTGGGCCTCACAACCGCTAATTTTGGAGATTTGATCTTTACTTAATGGTTTTGATTATGTAAATATATGTAAGGTAAGTCGGTAGGTAGTCGAGCTGGCTCATGTTTTTGCTAAAGCTGTCCTTCGTGGCAGTTAACAAGTAATATTTGGTTATGTCTATTATGAAAGTTGGTTTGGCTTAAGATTGTGATGTTGGTGTATCTTTTGGCTAAGCATTTTCATAGTATAAGATGAATGAGATATGAATACCAAGTTTGATGCCCAAAATGTAGCCCCATAATTGAGAAAAATAGAGGAAACTCTCTTTTAAATCTTTTTTTGTCGCATGATATGATACTAGTAGGTTAATATAGTTAGATTACTATAGTAGGTTTTACGCCATTGTATTGACTTGAATTGTAGATCTCACTTTCCTGGCAATTAAGTACTCTAATCATCGGTTATAGTTTGATTTCATCAAAACTTTGGCGATAGTGGAAGAGAGGACTTTCGTTTGTGCCAGTGGCGATGACCGTGGTGGTGTTATTGGTATTGGTGGTGGTGGATTTTGGGCCAATATTTCCTTAGTCTACAAAAATGTCAAGTTTTAACCGTTCAACCAGTGACTCTCCTTGTAGCATTTCTTATTAACCACCCAACTCTCTGCAACACGTTCTCTGCAACATGCTCTATTTGGCTTTGTGCTCCTTGGCCTCATGGAGGAGCATAACTCAACCATCAAGTGATCTCCTATAAGGGGTGTTCGGGAAGTTGGGTTGGAAGAATTTTTTTGGTTAAAATAGTTAATAAAGATAAAAATAGTTAAAATAGTTAACAAGATAAAATGTTACATTTAAATTATAATTATTTAATTTTTTTTTCTCTTACAATCATCAAATCAATTAAAAAAAAGCCAAATATCGTCTCAAATATAACCTTTTTAATCAGATTAAAATAACCAAATAATTAAAAAACCAACTAAAATAGCAAATATATATTTTGACAATAGAATGGATGTTCATAACAATATATATCATCACAATTAAAAAAGTAATAGCCAATAGTAGCAGTAATATAACCACACATCAGTCTTTTATACATAAATAATAAAAAGAGAAGTCATCAAAAATCCAAATACAACAAACATGACAAGCACGCCAACATGACAACAAATAGAAAGGAAAAAAATTAAATAAATAAAAAGAACTCCAAGTCTCCAACAGCACAACAGGCACACACAAGCATCACCAACCACTTCCTTTGTTTCCTCCAACTTTCATTCCTGTTAAATAAACAAAATAAAATAAAATAAAACTAAGTTGTAAGAAATGTGTTAAAAATAAAAAATGAAAAACAAATTTCTTAAAGATGTATGTAAAAAATGATATCAATTATCACACGAGTGAGTCAATTACTATATACCGATTATCTTACTTGAGGTAGGACATGTGTTAATGTGGAACTATGATGTGGAGATGCTATCTAAAATACAGCACTACCGCTTTATTTTTTACACATCATCAATATTAATTTGAATCATAACTAATGCATATTATAACAGGTTTATCCCATTTTCTAAGCACAATTTTTGAGATAACTGAATAATATCTCTTCGGAAATCTTTTCATTTGTCGAACTCACTAAACTAGCAAGGAACTAAATGCTTGGATTCATCATTTGGCAGATAAGAAAACAAGTCCACATATGAATTAGTTTAGTAAAAATAAAAAAAAATAAAAAAACTCGTAAAACTCTTGTTTTGTTTCTCTCCAATTTTGGTGAAAAACAATAGTTGTATAAAAAAAAATCAAAATACTTAAACTGTCTATCTAGATACAAAATATTGATAATAAAAAGACATGTGTTTTCACGTTCAAAAAAAAAAAAAACATTGATAATAAAAACACATGTGTTTTCTCTTTCTAAACCCACTTTCTAGACCAATAATGTGTCAACAAGATAATTGGTTGATAATTAAAGAATAAATGAGAGAGTTAGAAAGTGAATCTAATTTTTGGCCCTCAATAGTAATATTTAAATACCATTTAATGGGACTTAAGACTTGGTTTGGTTTGATTTGATTTGATTTGTTTTGGTTTAATAGTAATATTTAAATAAAAAAACACATGTATTCTCTTTTATTTTGGTTTATCCAAACACAATGATGAGAAATCATAATTATTTTTTTTCTTTTTTCACCTAAGTACTGGAAGAGAAATCATAATCACCTTGTTTGGTTCCAATTTTTTGAATTCAATTTTTTGAATTTTTTATTTTTTGTATTTTTAATGAATTTGTTTAATATTTTAAGTAATTTTTTTACTTTTTAGATACACTTAATATAAATATAAATAAAAGTATAATATTTTTGAAAAAAACTTTAAAAATTCACTAAATACCAAAAATACAAAAAAAAAGAAAAAGAAAAAGAAAAAAGAAAAAGAAAATTCAATATATGTTTTTAATATTTTAAGCAATTTTTTTTTTTTTTTACTTTTTAGATGTACCTAAAAAGTAAATATTTGCAAAAAAAATATTGAAAAAATAATAAGAATACAAAAAAAGTTTTTAAAAAGAAACGCTTATAGTATTAAAAAAATTCCCTAAAAAAGAAAAATTAATTTTTTAAAAGTTAAATTCAGAAAATTAGAATCAAACCAGAACGTATAGAAAGTGATCTATAAGAAAGGAAACCTTTTATTTACAATATATTTTCTGGCAACAACTATTACTCACCTGTAACTTGTTTTCTTTGTTAGTAGGGCCAGTCATCAGCCTCCGCGACATCCCAATTTTTGGGGACAGGGATGGACCTTAATCTCTCTGGGATGCTAACCTTGTCACTGTGGTACAGACCCAAACCCCGAAGCAGAGGCATTCCTCCTTCATCCACTTGTAACTCCTTCACGTGACACTGGACAAGAAATAGGATTTCGAGTTGAGGGAACCCTCCTACAGTGCAAGCAAATTTATATACGGTGTAATTCAACAAGTCAAGAATTGTCAGCTTTGGAAGTTTCTCTAATGACGGCATAGGATCTTCCTCCATTTTCTCTCCAGACAGGGAGAGGTATTTGAGATTCGGTAAGAATTCGTGCATCTCTGTCGGTAGCTTTCCTATTTCTCCAAGTAACTTCAATTGAATGAGGTGCTAGCAGTGAGAAAATGGTTGCAATGTAGGATTCCAAACAGTGTCCGCATATAGAAATAATGTTTGGAGGCTTCTTAATCTACCAATAGAGTCTAGAGTGAACCCCTTGAGTTCTCCATTCAATGCTACGCAAAGCTCGTGAAGATTGATTAAATCCGTTAATGGATTCAATTCCATCCGGTCATCAACCTCAATGTCTATCCAGTTTAGAGTTTGAAGGTTTGTTAGGTTTTCTACTCGGAAAGGCCACTTGAAGCATCCAATTAAATGTCTCAACTGCTTTGCATTGCATATCTCATCTGGTAACATAATTGAGCTATCTGATTTGGAAAATTCCAGGGTTTGTAGGGTTTGCAAGTTACCTATGGATGGTGGAATCTTGTTTATTTTGGAGCCACTTATCCTAAAGTACCTCAAGTGAATCAACTTCTCTATTGCATCAACTAAGCTTACATGCTCTGTTTCTTCTTGGGAATGTTTGAATATGATCTCCTCAAGATCTAACACTCTCAACAATCTCAATTTTTTGTACAGAAATTGTAACTCCCCTATTTCGGCGGATTCATTTTCCGAGTCGAAGAACAAAAGGGTTCGTAAATGCAAATTTGATGACTGATCAAAGGAAGCAAACCTTTTTAATCCACAGCTATGAGAAGCTAGTCTTCGATGTTTGCAGGGAGAGGGTGCAGAATGAACATTTCCGTCATAGATATGAAGGAAATTTAACTCCTTCGACTTTCCAATTGCAAAATCTCGAAGAAGATCATGCACTCGGCATTTTCCAATTCTCATCCAGTTTCTTTGAGCTACTTGAATCAAGTTTCTGTCAATCAGCTCATTTAGATATTTTGCAGCTGTCTCCTCTAAAGTTTCTCCTTCTGCTTGTTGTATGAAACATTCTGCCACCCATAACCGTATAAGTCTGTCTGCATCAATTTCAAAATCCTCAGGGAACAACCCCAAGTAAAGAAAGCACGACTTCAAGTGATGAGGCAAATCGGTGAAACTTAAAGCCAATATTTGTGTAACATGAGTCGAGTCATGGCTTTCAAAGTCGTCACCTCTTACATGCCGCCAGAAGCGGCCCTGCAACTTGGGCCACTCATCAGGATGTTTTCTTGACAATAGCCCACCCAAGACGACTATGGCCAGGGGTAAGCCATGGCATTTTCTGACCATATCTCTTGCCGATTTAATATAAATACAAATAAAAAGTATAATATTTGTGAAATTTTTTTTAAAAAATTCACTAAATACCAAAAATACAAAAAAAAAAAATAATATGAGAATTCAACACATTTTTTTTTGTATTTTTGTATATTTATTATTTTTTAAAATATTTTTTTTGTAAATATTTTACTTTTCAAAAATTCATCTAAGTAAGGTACATTTAAAAAAGTAAAAAAATTGCTTAAATTTTCAAAAATATTCACTAAAAATAAAAAAAAAAAACTCAATTTTTAGAAAATTGAAACTAAACACACTGTGACCACTGCATTATTAAATTTTATTTTGATTTTTTAATTTAAAATCTAAATTTCTATTTTAAAATTTTTATTTTCAAATTTCAATTAAAATGTGACTCATATGTACATATAAATTTAAAATTTTTATTTAAAGGTCTTTAAAATTTAATTACAATGTATATATTTCATAATTTTTAATAATCAAAATATAGCCAAGATTTTACTTTTGGATATGTCATATATATTTCTCAACTTAAAAAATAATAATTTAAATTAATATTTTGAAAAACTTATAAATTTTTCATAGATTGTGTGATGATCATACAAAACAGAAGTTATTTTTTTTCCTGAATACATATTCTATTAATATTTTTTTGATTTTTAACTTATAAAATTTAAATATCTAATTTTTTTTCATTCTTAAAAGTAGTGCAATTTAATAAAATTTTAAAAATATTTTTAAATTGATAAAAGAATCAACAAATAAATGTAAATTGTTAAAAAAATTATATGGTAAATTTTTGAAATAGGCTTGGTTTGGCATGTTTGAAAAAAGTCAAAAATTAAAAAAATCACTATTCTATTTAAGTCATATCATCTTATTTAAGTCACATCATCTCTCTAACACATCATTTCAAACCCAATCCATATTTCATAAAAAATCAAAAAGTACACTTATTTAGATTATCTTAAACAACCCCTAACATGAGAAGATATATGTATTGCATGTGTTGACATCGTATTTGTCATTATAGTAAACAAATCAAATTTATTGAAATTTATTTTCCATATCAATGTCATAAAAGAAGCATAAATTATTAAATTTGAAAGGTAATAATTAATAAATTTGATATCTGTGGGGATATATTTTCTGAGATACTAACACGTGGCCAAGGTGACGCTGACGTGTCAGTTGAGGTGCCACGTGTCCTGGTCGTGATGCCGAGGTTATCTCGGCTAGGCCAAGGTTACCTCCGAAGATATCGTTTAAAAATTACTTAAATTTTTTAAAATATTCACTAAATACAAAAAAAACACAAAAAAAAAAAAAAAACTTAATTTCTAGAAAATTAAATCTAAAAATTAAAACTAAACACACTATACTATTTGAATTCAAAAATTAAATTCTTTTAAGTTTAATGATTAATCAATTAATTGCTTTTATATTTTATTTATCTTATGTTCATATTTTTTTCATTATCAATTAATCATCTTACTTAACATTATTAAATTTAAAAATTAGATATATCATTTTCTTAAAATAATTATTCCATTAACTTTTTGCTACCCTAAACTTCTCTCTTTCAAGAACATTACATTGCAATATTTCTCACCAATCACAAATCATCGTACCCCTACATATTTTCTAATCACTAATCACAAACCATCACACTTTATATATTTTCTAATTATTTAACAAAAAAAAATTATGTACCCACCTTTTCACTAATCACAATAACCTCAAACTTCTCTTCCTTCACATGGGTGACACCACAACACATCCTGTCATTCAGAGAGACTTTGTGCGGTCAAGGATACCGACGTGGATTGGATCTCATCGCAATGCAAAGATG